TTTAGTTCGCTTATCATCATCACTTGAATCTTCATGATGCTTGAATACCTTGGGTTTAGGAGATGCTGCCTTCATTTTTTCCTGATTGGAAACACCTTCACCTTGGTCTAAATAATGGTCTGGTAAAGAATATTCAACTTGAACTTGCTCTTCAATTTCATCACCAGAGGCTACCATATCCTCTACGTCAGTCACTCCTTCAGGCTCATCATCACCTGGTACTTCCAGCTCACTCATTTTTTCTCCTTTTTTGATGTTCTTCTTGTGCCTATTCTGGACATCTTCTCTCTCAGAATCTGAATCTGAAAGGAGGAGAGGGCTAGCCTCTCTGGCATAACCTTCTGTCAGATTGATAACCTCCCTAGTAGGTTCAGGAAGGACCCCAAGATCTTGAATTGCGGGCAGATTTGCCTTTTCTGGAATTATATCTTCATCTCCAGATAGATCCATATCTTCAGTATCTGTTACAGCACCTGTTTCCTTTTCAGGCAAAAGAAGTAACTGCTTTTGTTTAGGTAGTGGTGACTGCTCCCCATCCATATTCAGGTCCTCTACATCTGTCAATGCATCCTGAATATCTTGGCCATTCATTTCACCAACGGGACTCTGTCCACCTGGGACACTAAGAGTGGTGGTTTCCATTTGCATTCCAACAGGCATGTTGACTGCAAGAGATGTTTTAATTCCAGAGTTCAAGTTTTCAGCATGGAATTGTCTTCCTTTTTCCTCTGTAGCTGAAGCCTGTGGAGTAGACACTAAATCATGAGTTTGCATAGCATATGAGAAATTAGGAATACTGGACTCTTGTGGTTCAGATACAGGAGTAAGACTGGCAACCTCCTGTTCTAACTGTTCTAACCTTGCAAGAATAGGAGTAATTCTTACATTTCTGCTTGTTCCTGCTGCTAGATTCTGCTCCAAATTATTTATCATAGCTTTCAACTCTTCTGAGACACGATCTAACACTCCGAGTTTTAAACTTTCTTCATCCACTATATCTGACTGCTGTTCTACTTCACTGGCTCTTTCATCTGATAATGAACCTGACACCTGTTCCAGGAGGCTATCAGTGGCTCTCATACCTAGGGACTCTACTGCCTGCTCAACCCTTGTTATATCCTCATGAACTTCCTCAAGATCTCTCTTACCAGGTTCCTTAACGAAACTTTCACAAACTACTTTGCAACTGGAGGATTCATGCAGTGTTTTTTCAAATGTCTCCAAACCAGTGTCTCTCACATCCTCACCTCTGCTTTCATCCTTATTAAATTCATCAGATTGCAGGTATTCCTCTTTAGCCCTTGTTGACTGATCTTGATAGGCTTTTATCACATTTAACCAGCTGTCAGTTTCTCCAACTTCTGGTATAGTTATAGTGAAACTATCATCTATCCCTCCACTATCATCTGGAGGTACTTTTTCTTTCTCTCTCTCAACACTTCTTTGAATATTCATCTTATCAGATTGCTCGAACAGCTCACCCCTTATACTTTCACAGCCATGCAATCCACAATCAGTGACATTAGCACTTTCTACTTCTCCACTTGTTTTAGTGGTTCTCCCTTTTGATATGTCTTTTACTTTAGCTTTAGTGCCAGTGGAGGAACTCACCTCCTTATCAGTGCTAAGTTCAACTTTACATTTTAAGGAAGGATATTCATCTACTGTCATTGTGTGAGACAGTGGCCCTTCAGAAACAGATTTCACGCTGACAGCAGTAAAGCTTTCTGGTTTCTCAACTTGATGGATAATCTCCATGCCACTCCTCCATTCTTCTTCCAAAGGCCTAATTTCACCTATATTCTCTAAATCAAACATTTCCTGAATTTCATCAACAAGGCAGACAGTCTCAGATACTTCCACAATTCCCATATCTGCCATGCTTTCATCAGACTCAGTGGCATATGCCTCCATGTCTTCAGTAAGACAATCTGAGATTATATCAGCTGTCACATCTTCTTCTGGAGACTCAACTTCTGATATGTTGTGAACCTCATCTATCAAGAAAACCCTTTGATCTGAATCTGACTCACTTGAGGATGTAACAGTTACAATAGATACAACTTTATCAAACTCTTCCGAATAATCACCTATATGTATAGTCTCTATTCCAGTTGCCAAGTCTACTGAAGGGGAAACAATTTCCTCTACTTCAAACATTCTATCCATCCCTTCTACTTCTTCCACCTGACATACTGTTTCTGATACCTTTATTACATCTGGTGGTAATGTTGTTATATCTGTAAAATCATGAACGATTTCAGTTCCTCTTGCAAAACCTGGTTCTTGCAGTGTCAACCCTGTAAGCTGATTTTCTAGATCACTCTGATCTAAAACATTTGATTCAACAGCCTGGGATTCATCTGCCCTTGATTCTCTCTCAGTTTTTCCTATGGTGTCTGTAAAATATCTAAATGATAATGCTTCAACAATGGCTGAGTGAAGGTCTGAGGTGGATTCAATGTGGTGGGGTTCTTTGGCAATGGATGGGTCATAAATGTAGTGTGTTTCACCTGTTGACATGATAGTTCTGGTCTTATTTTCCTCATCATCAACCCTTGGAGGTTTATAAAATCCTCTCCTTCTCATAGTTCTCTTTTCCTTCTCCCATGAACCATCCCTTTGCCTTTTCCTGTCACATTCATATTTAAAAATGTCAGCATCTATACCTTCTTGATCAATACCTGTAAATGCTGAAGACCCAGAAGACACCTGCATTGCACCAACTTCCCCTGCAATCTCTACTTCTGGTAACATCTGGACAGTACTGTCTGCTACATCTGCCTCCATATCCATCCTCATACCATATCTTTCAAGGAATACCTTACAGTCATCATTTTTCACTATGGCTTCAGATACATACAACTGAGTGTCTTCATTATCTACTATAGCTTCTGAAACAGACTGCTGCATATCATCACTGTCTACCACAGTTTCTGTAACAGACAACTGCATCTCATCACTGTCAATCACAGTTTCTGCAATAGACAACTGCTGCATCTCATCACTATCAACTACAGCTTCAGCTATTGACAACTGCATCTCATCACTATCTGCAAGAGTTTCAGTAATAGATAACTGTATATCATCACTAAGAACAACACTTTCTGCCACTGACAGTTTCATCTCATCTCCATCTACAACAGATTCCACTAACGACAACTGCATTTCATGACTATGTATTAAAGCCTCAGTTACACAAACCTGCATCTGATCATTATCTATCACGATTTCTGCTTCAGATATCTGTGCATCAACATCTATTCCTCCAATTTCTAATTCTTTTTCTCTTATCAGTTCCTCTATTGAGAGAAATTCTGAATCAGCAATGACACTCCTGACAGAATCTCCATCCTCAACTTCATCTGGCTGTTCAAGTAATGAGCCAAAATCTAATTCAGGACTAATCATCTGGCCTAGTGGTTGAGATGGTTCTTCCTCTATGACATCTATTTCCCTAGGAATTGCCCTTGTCTTTCCTGTTCCAACATAATCTTTCCTAACATGTATCTGTTCATCTTGACCTAGATCTTCCTCCTCTTCAGGCTCATCTAGTTCAATTACTGTTTCTAAGATCTTAACAACATCTGTACATGGTAAATCAACGTCGTCATCATCATCATCTTCATCATCATCTTCATACTCAAATCGTACATTTTCAACACCAGATGCCAAAAGAATTGGTGAAGTTGGGGGTAATGCCTTTCTTGGTTCTACTTCTTCAAATTCCAAACTATGTGTCTTTGACTTTTGGAGCCTCTCCCTCTTAGCTGTCAAAATGTCAATGGGAACAGCCTCTAGCTCAGTCTTGTTAGAGATATTTTCTAATTCACTCTCCTGAATAGCTTGCCTTATAGTATCTGATTCAAATGCCCTTTGGAAACAATCAGATATAACAGAATCAATTACAAAAGGCTCTGCAAACTGTGGCACCCTGAAAGATGACTGAGGTGATTCACATGTGAGAGAGCTTGTATTAGGCTCATCTTTTGAAGGTGATTCTACAGATGATTCTGAAGGCTGAGACCTTGATGCTGACTCAATCTCACAAGCAACATCTGATAACTGTGGTGTCCCATCATGAGAAAGGATTGGTTCAACTTTTGAGCCAACATCTCTGTCATGAAGATCTGGACTACAGTCATCAGGTCTACTTCCCTGATTGATAGCCATTCTTACCTCATGACTTTCAGTAATATCATGAACCTCTGCTATTGGTGACACAGAAAATGATGCAACACTAACAGGAGATTCAATTATTGCAGTATCTGTTTCAGGTGAATCAGTAACTGCTGATTTTTCTAATTGCATATCACTAGCATGAATATCTGCCACTGTTTCTATTGACTCTTCAGTCCCCTTTCTTATTTTTTCCACATAAAATGGTGAATATTCTCTCCCCTTTACCAACAACTGATCAGAAATATCGGAAGCCCAACTTTCCTTGCCTCTGTCCATAGAGGGCAGTCGTTCTCCTTTGCTCATAACAACCTTGCTAGTTTCCCACTTTTTGGCCTCATACGCTTTGGGAATTGTAACATCTACAGCTGTAGCTGTGTCTGGTGACTTACTCCCCTGACTATCAGCTTTTTTATTATCTGACTTTTGAAGCCCCTTAGAAGTTATTTTGCGCACTTTTTTAATAAATGACTTAAACTTAGATTTGCCCTGGTTCTCACTACTTGGAGAGGTAGTACTACCTACAGAATCTACAGGAGATAAATCGCTACTATCTACAAGGCTTGAGGGGCTCTCAAGCTCCGACTTAATACTAGGTTCGCTTGGGGATCCCTCGGGAACTGGTTCACTGCAGGATTTATACTTTGAAGTATGATAAGGATCAACACCTACAGCATAATACCCCTCCAAAGTGGAATAACCGCTGTCAGGATGACTGCTGTCATCCCCACTACGCTGGACAGCTTGCACAGGGATGGGACGACCCAGAGTAGGTACATCAAGGTCCAGGCGTAAATGCTCATGGCCACGAAGGTGCTCACCTCCTACTGTACCAGATGCATCTTCCTCACTTTCACGACACATCTCCTTGATTGTTGGCAAGCGTTCCAGCTCCTGTTCTTCTTCCCTATTAAGGAATTCTTTGAATTCCCTTAGAGGTGTTGGGGTATCAGGAGTAGGTGTGTCTGCCTGCCGCAGTTCCTTCACTTCTTGCTTAATTTGACTAGTTGCTTCTTTTACTTCTTGCATAAGTCCACGCACTTCTTCTTCAACTGAAGGTACATGGACTGTTGGCTGGTGTTCATGGACGGATCGTTCCCGTACTAAAAGATGGCTAGTAATAGGCCTCTTCTCAACTTTAACCTTAACCAAGGTAGTTGTTCGAGGTGCTGGTCGTGCAGGACGCTCTGGCCTAGGCACAGCGCCACTCTCACTTCCAGGAGGCCGTTCACTTACTGCCAGCTCTCCCATCCCTAGTTCTTCTAAGTTTTCCACTTCAGTTACACTTGTTTCTTCCTTCAGTTCCTTTGGGATATCGTCTTCCCTACCAAGCTTGGTAAGGTCGTTCGCCGTGCATTCTGCATCGTCAGTTGATTCGTTTGAATTCGAAGTTATCATCAAAGTCGTTGGACGGTGTGCTGATGGTGCTGTGGCTTCACTTACTAGAGAGGCAGAGTCATCACCTGATACTACAGGGATTGCACATTCTGTTTCTTTAATATCATATGAAGGTGAGACACTTTCTAAATCTTCATCTGATAATGGCTGAGAGGCAATCTCTAAAACATCTTGTGCTGACTCAGCCATTACTTTGTTTGCAATTTCTACTGTAGCTGAATCTCTTAATTCCTTATCAGAGCTGACTGATTCTGCTGATAAGGCATTATCTTCATGTGCAATATCAATCTCTTCAGCTGATACACTAATTTTGCTAGATGAAGGTACACTTCCAGTCTCTGGAACTGAACCTTCAGGTATACTGTCTTTTATACTGCTTAGTATTGGCATTTGAACTTCATCCATACTTAAATCTACTTGGACATCAGGAGCACCTGTACTGGATGGAAGCTGGATATCTTCATTTATCTTACTGCTATCTAAAACAATATTTTCTGTTATTTTTTCCTTTGCTATAAGATCATAGGTTGGTGCTTCAGTGCTATTAAGTTCTCCTACTGAGCTTGATACTATAGCATCTGCTCCTTGACTAAGACTAAATTCAGATTTCTTTATTTGTACTTTGCTTTCTAATTCATGAGCATCTTTAGCTTGGTGGATATTGCCATCAGAATCCTGTTCTGTTAATGTCTCGCCTTCACTCTTATGTACAGGCCCTGCATCAGGTGATGCCTCTGCTGGAACATCATTGTCTCCCACATGTTTGTCTTCATGTGGCTGCTGCTCTTCATCTTGGTGTTCCGGCTGCTGTTCAACACCATGTAACCCCTCCCAAACACCACCAGGAGCATGTAACGTAACACGACTCTCTGAGTGTAGAGTCAATTGTAGACAGCGAGCAGATTGATCATCATCAACTTCTATGCTGGTTGTGGTGGTTACTGGTGCTCCCCAGCTTGTAGTGGTGGTAATGGTGTGGGAGCCAGCCCTTGATCGAGGCCTTGTTGCCACATGGTCCACTTCAGGTCGTGCCTCCAGCACAGTTATTGGACTACATCCACGTTCCTCTGTATGCCCAGCCTTTGTGGAGTCATCGGAGAGCACCCGCTCTTTACCGTCTTCCAGTCGTTTCTTGTAAGCACTGTCTTCTAGAGGTGTGTCCCACTGAAGCACATCCTGGGCTGCCCTTCTGCTGTCGGGCCGGGACGTCCTCTGCTGGATTAAGGCTGCCACAGAAGAAGAGGTCAGACACTGGAGTCTCGGGTGTAAGCAATGCCTCTACACCTGTGAGCTACCGGCCCTCCTTGCTGCTGCCTCCTCGCCGCCGCCAAGAACACGGGTGTGATGGTGAGGAGCGGTGGTGGTAGAGGGGGAGCAGGTGTGGTGGTGATAATGTGATAGTGGTAACTCAAGCACAAAGTCTACAACTTAACCCACAGTAGTAGCAGCACGCCACCAACTAAACTGTGTCAAGCAGGATAATGATATTCAGTGGAACAGATGATAATAATAATGAGGAGAAGTAAGCCATTCGATTATAAAAAGTGATCATGGTACAAGCCATTGGGATACCTGCCTACCATTGCTCTAGTTGAGAATACCGCACCCAGAATACATTCCTCATTTTGGCCATGCTCTGTCGTGCAATGTGTATCATGAGGGAACTAAAAATAACTGCAGAGGACTGGTTTAAGGTACTGCCAGGGTTCATCTGTAGTCCAGTAACACTGTATGAACTATAGTGGTACTAGCGGATCTTTATATAAATATTTATATATATGATTAGCATGATGTTCCCGTGTTTTCTACTACGCTGCTATGTTTTCTTTTGTTTGATTTCTGTGTGAACCAAGTATTTATACTGTCTTACCTGATTCTAAAAGTCTGCCACCGCCAGTTTCATAACATTTCTAGCAACATTAACTATGTACCAAACAATCTATTTCCATTGAAATGCAAACATACTAGCACTCTTCTATCTCAAAAAAACAGAAAAAAAGGAGAAAAAAATAAAGATAAAAAAGAAAAAGAAAGAAAGATAGGGAAAAAAAAAGCAAAAGAAAAAAACAAGGATAATGAGGAAAAAGGAGGAAAGAAAAAGAAGGGTTACTGCTACTGGAAGAAGAAACAAAATACATAAAAAATTTCTACCAATCACAAGCTTTTGAACTAAAAGAGTACATAACAAGCAGCAGGCAACATAAAAGCATTATGTATTAGGGTTACAAGAGTGAAATCAAGAGAAAAATTGAACCAAATTATCTTTAATAAATGGATCTGATGGATTAAATTACGGATGAGGAAATTCTAGCCAGGGATTAGAGGCAATGGCTAAGTTAACATCTGCATCACAGGGCTATGGAAAAACAGCAAAGACAACAGATTCAAGTTTATTCTTCAACTATGAAAACAGCATTTATCTTAGCACCTTTAGACAGATAATAACTTGCCATTGCAGCTGAGAATTTTAAAGAATATCTATCATTGTAGGCTTGTGGCTACAGACAAAGAGAGAAAATATAAAAAAAGAAAATGAAAGTGTAGAGAAGATAATAGAGTGAGTGGTAGCTTGAAACTGATATTCCTCTCAGGAAGACAGGATGTAGGCACAGGAAGAGGGATCAAGGATGAGTGTAAGTGGAGATAAGGGCGGAAGATAAGGGCAGCAGACGGAGGACCTGATAACAACACAGGGGTCACACTCACGGTCCCAGAGCAAAGATATTGTTTAACAAAATTAAGGGTTCTTGATTACCAACTACAGCTCGGATCACCTACTAGGTACACGTACAATGACTAAGGTCAAGTACGGTCACTAAAAATTACTTACAATAACTAGGGTCACATACGATGACTAAAATCTTATATAAAGTAGCCAGGTTTACATAAAATGACTCTAAAACTGTCAAGGTCACATACATGGACTTTTGAGTACTTTAGCATACATTCACTAGACTCCTGGACATGAACTACCACAACTCATGAAGTGATGTCCACAGACAAAGACTGGCATGGCACAATCACAAGAAGGACTCTAGAATCCCGACTTTTGCAATAGTAATGGGGAGGGGAGGGGGAGGGTATCAGAGCTAAAGTACGAAGAAGAATATAAAGTTAAGCATCTTTCAAGGGTATTTAATTCTTTATATTAGCTAAAAAGAATGTAAAATAAATTTGCTTCTTAGGGGGGAGGGGCATTCAGGTCTCCTAGTGAACTTTTATTAAAATTTCTCTCTCTAATGAAAAAAACAAAGAAATAAATCAACAAATAAATAAAGAATTTAAATGGGCAGCTCTTCATAAACTGAGGACATATGAAGCTATTCATCTGTGGATCATAATACAAAGTCTTCACCTAAGACAAACAGTTTATGTATCATATAAGCAAATGTGACTACATAGAGGCATTACTAGGCACAAGATATCAGTTGTAAAATATCTATATATTACAAAAAAAAAAGAGAAAAAAAAGAAAAAAGTTAAAAAAAAAAGAAAGAAGAAAGAAAGAAAGAAAAAAAAAAAGCCCAAAATTTAGTCAGAGTCGCTTATCTCATGTTAGAAAAAAAAAAAAGGAAAGAAAAAGGCCAGTTACATATTGGACTTCATAGGGATAACCCAATTAGGAAACTGCAGATTTCCATCAAATTAACTATGTTTATGTCTTAATTAGCCATGTGAATCTCCATGATGATAATCGACTCATTGGTGCAGGTGTGGGTGAAAGTGGGAGGGGGGGGGGGGCAGGGAGGAGGAGAAAAAAAAAAAAAAAAAAAAAAATAAAGGTTATGGACAAAAGAATCAAAGCAAAGTAAGCAGTTAAAAGGGTTTAAAAAAAGTAGGAAATAATCATTAATAAAAAAAGGGAACATAATACAGTAACAAAAGCAAGTATGCATATAGTAGTTCTTTTTTCAGAGAGGTGGAACAACTGTTAAAAAGCTTTCGATAAAAGGTCAAGACTAATTCCCCCTAAAAAAGACTTAATTTCAATCAACAGGATTTTTCAAATACAATTTTTTCCATAGGTATAAGGAAAACATAGAATTTCAGGAGACTTATACATTAGTTTTCTCACATTCAAAGACCCTCATCCTTATATCATTCTTCATTGCATATCCTATGGGGGGTTATACCAAAACCAAAATATGAGACAAATGGAAAATAATAAAAAATGGGATATAACAAAATCATAATAGTAATAGTAATAACTTCATCACACTTACAGTCAATGAAACTGGCAGAAGTGACGCCCTTTAATGTGATTTTGAACTTCTTTTGCTTACAATTTCTACGGCTGTTTAATATATCATTTCAACAGAACAAATCTATTCCCTGTTGTTTGAAATCAGCAAATGCTGACATTCTGATTTTTAAGTAAATGAATGGAAACAAAGCAAGCATCTTGGTATATGCAAAGATCATGAATCAAAGGGGTGAAGAAACTGATTTCAGTAAATATTAAAGATAGAAAGAAGGCATCAGAAAGTTACACATATATATTCAATACTGCCGAGATAAAAACTAATACCTCTATTCACCACACAAAAGACAACAGTCAGAAACCAGATATTTTCCTCCCTATTTTCTGACAAAAAGACCTTTTGACCCACTCAGCATCTCTTTTACTTCTGTACCAGAAATCATATTAGGGAGACATATTTCCTAAAAATCTTCAGGTCGAACTGTCTGCTCCTTTGTGTTATTTACTCTTAAACCAAAGAAAAAGTCAATCATGTACCCAATAATGATATGTCACTCGGAAAAATATCTTTTAATATCTGCTATCATATATCTTTACCTCCAATGGCATTACTAGTTTCATAATGTAATCCTATATACACTTTAACCTTTGTAAAATATGTAATCTGAATATCCAAGTCCAGCATTCCTAAAGATACATAAGAATCAAAATTCTACTAAATTTCAGTTATCATGAATTATTTCACTATATTTCATCCGAAATTTATATCAAGTAAATAAAATGTACTACATTACCTTCTAATTTTCTGAGGCCAAACAATCAGAGGCAAAAATCTCTTTTCTGAATCTGCAATTTTCAATATCTATTTCCTCTTCAGTGACATCTGAATAAAAAGCTTGAAGTAACTAAAACTTTCCTTCGGTGCTGATACAAGAGTCAAGTCACTGAAGCTTCTACTCTTATATCAGGGGTTCGAGCCTGACAGATGTTCTCACTTCTCCACTCACTACACAACTGATATGACCTGGTTTCTTAGCCGACTGGTTAGTTACCCCCCACCCACCAACCCCCACCCTCGATGGCTCCCCAGACCAGCTTAAATATTGTACATGTATGGCATCCCACGTGTTAGTGCATTTCCTTTATGCGATGCGAGCTATTCCTAGTCCTTGTAGAATAACTATGAACAGCCATCATGTGGGGATTGATTTACACACTACTGAATAGTTTTGTTCATTATATGAGAAAGTTTGG